GGCTAGTGGTCTTGGTCCGGTCTTGATCCTGGTGCGTTGGTGCTCGATCCTGGTGCTAATCTTCGAGTCTTGGTCGTGAGTCTGTTAGGCAGGCGCGGTCAGATTTGGTGTCATGGGTCAAATTTTATTTTCCCCGTGCCAATTTCATATTGTTTGCACCAATAAACTTAAATTAGACCCCTCAATATACTGGGAAAGTGTTGGGGCATAAGACATCCATATTCAAGCCTTTTTTCAAACTTCGGTGTTGCCAGCTTCATATGAAAAATCATAGAAATTCAATGCTTTGTCCGATTGAAATGAAATTTGGAGGGTAGCTTGGAAATATTAATAGGGGAATGCATGCAAAAAATCGCATCAAAATACGATCTCTAGATACCATTTTCCATTTTTCCCGATTTTTCGCATTTCGGCACTTTGAAAAATAAAAAAATATACTTCCCATTTGATTTAAATTCCCAGATTTGGGGAACAGGGTTATGTTATTTTTATAAGGAATACTGCAAAAAATCGCATCAAAATTCGATCTCTAGGTCCATTTTCGGACTTATGTCTACTCCACGAAAAGTGTATCTACTTGTACAATTTTCAAAATGGCATATTAGCCTATTATAGGGGGGTGTGCACCTCAACTTTGCCACCCACAGCTGGCAAGTCTGGTGCTGCCACGGGACTCTCCCCCATGTCCCACGGTTGCCTTGACCCTTCAATACATGTTCCGTGGTCTGGTCATGGGTGATTCCATGTCGTGGCTACATGTCGTAGACCTCGAGTTGGTCGACTTTAGTTGATCCGGTCGGTCGACTTCGGTCGGTCAGGTCGGTAAGCTCGAGTCGGTTGATGCTGGTGGACCCGGTCGATCGACTTCGGTCGGTCGGTCGGTAAGCTTAGTCGGTCAACCTCGGTCGGTCGATTTTGGTGGACCGGATCGGTCGACTTCGGTCGAGTACGGTCGATAAGCTCGGTCGGTTGACCTCGGTCGATCGATCTAGGTGGATCCGGTCGGTCGACTTTGGTCAGTCTGATCGGTAGCTTCGGTTGGTCGATTTTGCACGACCCTCGGAAATGTGTGGCGGCGTTGCGTGACTTATTTTAACATCATAATGGGTGGCCAAAGCTATCGGTCGGATTGCGGAGATTTTGTGGGCTTTCGAGATTTCAAGGAAACTATAGGCAATGGTGGTCGGCGTTCGAGGTGTTGGGAGTTAGTCTCCGTCCACATGAAGGACAAAATTGCTAAATGGGGCAATGGCGTTCGGCATTCGAGGTGTTGACTAACAATCTTCGTCCACACGAATGGCACTACCCTCACTGGGATCTGCGATATCAAGTCTGTCCCTCAAAATGTTAAGGATTCTATCGGTCGTGGAGTCCATTCTTTGTGGTGTTGGGAGACGGTCACGGCAATCAGAGGGGTGATGACCGTAGTGATTCAGGGTATCCTGGGCGAGAGTTGTCTGATCCCCGACACAACGCACTTTGTGTGGAGTCTTGAGTCATTGCTGGCTTGAGCGGGTGGTTACTGGGGCTTCTTCCCGTGCCTCCTCCAAATTTTCTTCACTACCCCTGTGCTAGCACACCTTGCTGTGCTTGCACTACCTTATCCGTTGCCGTGCATGCACACCTTGTCGTGCTTGCACATGTTGACATGCATGCACCCTCTTTCGTGCTTGCACCCCGTTTCTTGTTTGCACCCCCTTCCTCACGTTACACCCACTCACCCAAACATTCTTTGCCATGCTTTGTTTGACCGTAGCCTTTTGTTTGTCCCCTTGCCATGTGCGTCTAGCACACCCAAACTTTTTTTACCATGATGACCCAAACTTTCTTTGCATTGCCTGCTTGCCTCATCCATGCCTAGCGATGCCAGACTTGGTGCCATGTGATGTTTCCATTTGCTTGCTTGCCATGGGCAAGTGGGGGGTGGTTCGTTTATTGGTGTTTTGCCTGGCGACCGTGAGGGCGTGTGAGTGGTTATAAGGATGTTTTTGTTGGTTGGCTCCGTGCTCGTGCATCGAACTTCTAACATGCATCCTCATCATTCATGGTCACCCTTTGGCCTTGGGTGATTATGCTCGGTCGGTCCCTGTGTTGCCTACCTACGAAATGGTACAGTTGCGGTCAGTCCTAAATATTATTTCTGTCCAGGGTT